TTCGCGAACAACTGGTGTCATCTCTGATTTTCAGTGGTTCATTCATATAATGCTCACCACTATGTTTCCTTTTCCTTTTAATGCAGACTGGTTATTCTCTGGCGTTGAATATTCCCGTTCTTGTGCTATGCCCTCTCCATCCTATCTCCGTATAATAGCCTTTGTCGGGCCTACGGTACCGTTACAATCTATATTCTTCCCTCCTCGTTATCAATGCTGTTGATAACGGTTGTCGGGTATAAGACCATGTACGTTCCTCGTTATGAATGCTGTTGATCAAGGTTGTCGGGTATAAGGCCATGTACGTTCCTAGCTGTGAATGCTGTTGATAAGGGTTGTTGTGTACAAGACCATGTACGTTCCTCGTTAAGAATGTTGTTGATAAGGGTTGTTGTGTACAAGACCATGTACTTTCCTCGTTATGAATGCTGTTGATGAAGGTTTTCGGGTATAAGACCATGTACGTTCCTCGTTATGACTGCTGTTGATGAAGGTTGTTGGGTACAAGACCATGTACGTTCCTCGTGATGAATGCTATTGATGAAGGTTGTCGGGTATAAGACCATGTACGTTCCTCGTTAAGAATGTTGTTGATAAGGGTTGTTGTGTACAAGACCATGTACGTTCCTCGTTATGAATGCTGTTGATGAAGGTTGTCGGGTATAAGACCATGTACGTTCCTCGTTATGAATGCTGTTGATGAAGGTTGTTGGGTATAAGACCATGTACGTTCCTCGTTATGAATGCTATTGATGAAGGTTGTCGGGTATAAGACCATGTACGTTCATCATTGTGAATGCTGTGATGAAGGTTGTCGGGTATAAGACCATATACGTTCCTCGTTATGGATGTTGTTGATGAAGGTTGTCGGGTATAAGATCATAAACGTTCCTCGTTATGAATGCTATTCATGAAGGTTGTCGGGTATAAGACCATGTTCGTTGCTCGTTGTGAATGCTGTTGATACAGATTGTCGAGCATGACACCGAGACCATAGTCGTTTCTCGTTATCATTGCTGTTGACAAGGGTTAACTAATACGCCATCCTCCCCCTATATAATCTTGTAATCCTTATCCGATAATAGCTCTTCACAGCCAATCTCTTGTTGACTCCATACGAAAAATATCCACACATAAATACCAAGTTCCGTACTGCAGACACCCAGATGCTCTTGCCTGTGTCATGAAGTTGCTGTAATATGTCATACTAGTGAGTCAGGTATCTATGTCCATCCATGCTGAAGAACTTCAATGTTTGACACCTCGTATCTGACTAGAAATATACTAGAGTATAAGGGCAAAGTTCACAAGGCATGGCCTTATTTGAAGCGCATTTACAAGTCCTAAATGTCGCATAAAGAACAAAGTGAGAACTTGCTTCAGTGGATTCCTAATACCTGAGTCCCCATCCTTTCGATCCAAATAATAAAATATGTGCGCTTTTACAGTCACATCGTGGCCGTAGTACATGATTTATAATTGTTCTTGAATAATTTGTAAATTGGCCAAATTGTTTCAGATGGTTGTAGAGCTAGTTATTTGCTAGCCATAGACCACATTAACCTTGAAGAGGCACTCCTAAATACTTATAATATGTAACAACCTTTAAGGCAGTATTACTGTATGTCCATGTTTCATGTTTAGTTATCATGTCCCCATTCTGAATACATCGATACAGTATCATCACTATTTGACAGCGATTCATTGACACATGGACCGCCTCCGTGGTCTAGTGGTAGAGCGTCCGCCCGGAAAGCGGAAGGTCCGGGGTTCGATCTCGGGCCGCGTCATACCAAAAGACGTTAAAATATGGTACAAGCAGACACATACACACACGTGCATGCACGTCGCTATATGAGTGCAATAATCTTGGACGCGACGTTAAACCCAATTTCACCTCATTGACAAAAGCTTTTTTGCCGCTTTTATTTGATCCGGATTTACTTCTGAATCATCCTTACCTATCCCAGTATGACATGATAACGGTTGTTTTCTACCACATAGCAAATAATCATTACAGGAGAGTCAGAGGGGAAACCAGCAAAGCACATGACATACTCATTACAGGAGAGTCAGAGGGAAACCAGCGCAGCACATAACATGCTCATTACGGGAGAGTCAGAGGGGGAACCAGCGAAGCACATGACATACTCATTACAGGAGAGTCAGAGGGAAACCAGCGCAGCACATAATATTCTCATTACGGGAAAATAATTAAATTTTCGTTGTGTTCATGGAAATTCCTGCATTCTGATTAGCTGAATTGGTCACGTGTTATTGCTTTCATTTCCCAATGAATGAAAAAAATTAGCCACGCCCACCGCGGCGCACTACTTTTATTACTGCGGAATGTCAGGGAATCCCAATTTTTCCGTCGAGGGAATTCCCTTTCTGCTCACGTGTATCGTCATGCACAGGACATTTAGCGACTTTCATGCAAATTCGTTGTCCAAACTACCCTTTGAAAATTGAAACCGAAGGCCGAGAATGAATGAAACAGCAAACGTGCAGGCTCGCTCGCCTGTTTTTTCCGCTCGCCCCAGTTAAACTTTCATGTCTTCGGGTTTCATTTATAACTAGCATTTCTCCAACTGTGTTTTACCGTAATCAGGGAAGTAATGTTGAATAACGCAGTAAATGACCATGTTATTTGAAACAGCCGCCTTCTCTCGGACATATTTCTTCCGGTTCGTTACAGTCAGACTGTTGTAGTTCTTGTTTCCCTTTGCCGTAATTGACAGGTCCAATGAAAATTGTTTTAATCCCACTCTCCGTTGATTGGCTACTGACTGTGTAGGCGTGTCAAGTTATGTACATAAATTAAACGATCACCTGATTCATGTCACGTCACTGTATGTATTCCTACACCTGGATTGTTTATCAATGTCGTCATTTTTGTCTGTTTTGATATATGCAACTGTTTTGGGTTAAACTATTGTAGATAAAACATGTTTTACGTTGTCGAATTTAGTTATAAGCATTGACAGTATATTTTTTTCGGTTCATTGAGGTATGAATCGAAAAACCGATGTGCAAACTTTTGTAAAAATCCGCTACGCCGATCCATACAGTTTGCACATCGGTTTTTCGATTCATACCTGAATGAACCGAAAAAAATATACAGTCAATCCTTAAGTAAATCGTCCATGTCTCGCCCTTTGATACGTCATGTAAAGAAAAAGGAGTATTGTAGGCATATACGTTCTAACAACGGTGGATTTGCAAAGGCCTTCACGTGACAAACATAACATTTAAAGAAAATGCCTCTTCATTTCTACCATTGATACAGTTAATTACAATAACCATCCCGATTTGTTTTTATCTGGCTGTGCAAACTGTGCGCTGTAATTACTTTAAAACCATCCGGTAGACTAAACTGTCTTCATAAAGAGGAGAATCAACACTGACTAAACCCTTGGGTAATCAGACCGCCCTTTATTATGTTTTCGCCAATGGATGCGAGCGTAACGGGGGCCGTTACACAGGAATTTGAAAAATAGCAACAAAAAACTTGCAAATGGTATGTGTTGCCGCCAAATGGGGAACTAAGTTAGTGTATTACGTGAGCCTGATTTGAACAATGCCAAGAATTAAGGCAGGGAGCTGACACAGGATGCTCTCACTTTGCTGGCAAGTATTCTTCGTAACTATATCCAACGAGACAAATACAAAAATTGTGGAGGATGAAGACTATAGTTTGTTCCAGACTTGACAGACCCCAGCCTTCCGGCAAAGTGAGCGTAATTGTCAAGACATACATCACATAGACATATATAAGGTCTATAAATGAAACTAAAAACATGATGAGCAAACAAAAAAACCGTAATGAATAGCACAATTATATTCATTTCACAAATTGAAATATACATTTCACAAAATGAAATGTGCACAATACGTCCAGTTTCCAGACGACATAACAACCAAACAAGGTGGGAAACGGAATCAACCTATTTAAGCGTTGATATGGTGCCATCTTCATTTTTGGCTGGCTAGTCGCTCGTCCAGTTGACGGTATTATCTCAGAGATCTCCACCCGGTCAGCTGGAGGATCGTTATCTCAGTGAAGATCTGCTCTGATTTGATGAAGTTTATGAATTTGAATACTGATGACTGGCAGTGATTTGTGCCATTTTGGAGTGCAAACACTCAACATGGTTAGTTGACCTTGACCCAACTTTGGTAAAATGGTTCCACAATACTGCTTCACCACCAAGGACCCCCTGATCAGTTGGGTCGTCAGCAAGCTTGCGCACACATAACCCTGGAATTATGCCCATTGTACATCAAACTCGACCCGTGAAGATTCCGGGGTAGAATAGGTCTTCAGCAACCCATGCTTGCCGTACAAGGTGACTATGCTTGTCGTAAAAGGCGACTAACGGGATCGTGTGGTCAGGCTCGCTGACTTGGTTGATGCATGTCATCAATCCCAATTGCGTGGATCGATGCTCTCGATTATTTACATACCGCCGTCTGAGTGCGGCGTAAAACAAACAACTAACCAACCAACACCAAACTCTGTCCACCACGATAATTAGGAATATATCTAACGTTGATCCGTGTAACTGCCATTTTGCAATAAGACTTAAAGGGGAGCACATTAATTACTTAAGATTGGTTTACCGTCTTCACTTTATGTGTTTATTTAGTAAAACCCATAGTTTACTGACATATGATCATTTCCTGATAAAATAGTTGAAAGGTGAATCTCAGGTGAAACAGACTATAGCTTTTAATTCACCGTATCGTTTTTTAAACCCCCTCTTGTCTGCCGGCAAAGTGGGAACAATCCGATAACACATGTAGTAACGTGCCTAATTATGGGTGCAGTCCCTCCCTTTTAGGGAAGAGCGATACACTTCATTTAAATGAAGAATTTGCATAAGGTGTGTTTACCAGTAAGTTGGTAGTATATTAAATCGATGGGTCGATTTTTCGTTCACTCGAAATTCAGCAACTCTTCCCCTTTCCGTCTCTCCAGTAATACACGCTCAGCAACCATGTTGTCAGCGGTTCTTGGCTTGCTGTTGGGATGCCTGGCAATGTCCAGTGCACAAGTGCCAAAAGAAGAGTGTAAGTAGAAGTAGAATGTGTGTGTGTGTGTGTGTGTGTGTGTGTGTGTGTGTGTGTGTGTGTGTGTGTGTGTGTGTGTGTGTGTGTGTGTGTGTGAACCTCTGTCCACTCAACATTTTAGCATAAGCGGTTGTTGTGATGTAAGGGAAGATTTGTCGAAGGTGGACCTATCACGGCAACATTCACTCAGAGGGCTGGGTATACACACAGGGGTTCACCTATGATCTTCCTGTGGGTCAGTGTGCTTCTGTTCAGCACGAAGAGCACTATCATCTGTTTCGACACAGTTTGTAAGAAAATACGTGAGTATATTTGGACAATAAGGGCAGTCGGAGCGCTAACACCACGAGGTGAAATAAGGCCCACAATACATCCGCAGCTAGAGATAAGCGAGGGCACATTCGCTTAGGTGTATACCCCTTTTGTCGAACCCGCTTGTGTCGAACCCGCTTGGGAATTCCGGGTAAGAATAGGTCCATATCAACCTATGCTTTTCGGACAAGGCGACTAAATGAGTAGGGTGGTCGGACTCTGTGCATGGCTTGATAGTGAGTTGACGGCGCGGATCGTTGTTCGATCAAGGGTTTAACATCCAAGGCCTCAGTAGGACATTATCAAATTTGACGCATCCGTGACAAAAATGATGTCACATACATTCCCTCTTTTGACTTGTACCATATGTTCCTGTTTTCCAGGTGAACAATTGACTTACCTTTGCATGTGTTTGTGACGGGTGCCACCGGTGGGGCAGGATACGCTCATCTTTTCGTGAACATCTGGCATCATGACTATTTGGTAGTGATTCATAATCACTTGCTCATGATACATTCGGAATCGTACAATCGACTCTGGTAGATTTGTTATGAATATGGAAAGGGATTTGTTGCTTATATTATCATGACATCAGTTACTGGTTTGTCTGGCCTAGATTCGATTATTTACAGGCCCCGTCATATTGTCAGAATATTACTAAGTTTGGCATATGCGTCCTGACTGTAATTGGTTCGTGTCGCAATGAAGGAAACGCTTTCATTGTACATGGGTTGGCATTGTCGGACTAAATATACGGGAATATCTTGAGAATTCCCATTGCAGCAGAAGGTATCAGAACAGCAGGAGCCGTGTTGCTGGAACCAGACTCGACCTCGATAGTCCCACATGTTGACATCTCCTTCATGTAGCCTACCTGCCATGATCTCGCCATTGACGTATGAAATGATAGAGGTTGTCATTATTGACAATGCAGGGCCCATTTCGATGTCTGTATATTTATACCGACCTGACTGTGGCGGCACCGACGTTTCAGACTCTATGTGTGTACTAGATAATATAACTGTTTCACTGTCTTTCAGACTCTATGTGTGTACTAGATAATATAACTGTTTCACTGTCTTTCAGACTCTATGTGTGTACCAGATAATATAACTGTTTCACTGTCTTTCAGACTCTGTGTGTACTAGATAATATGAATGTTTCACTGTCTTTCAGACGCGGTCCTATGTCTGAATAACTTCAACGATGAGTGGAAGTACGTGGCCCCTGGCTCGGGATGCAAGAGGTTCATCAATTGCTATGGTCAGGATTACCATGGAATGCTTCAGTGTCCCGAGACGACTCTCTTCAATGAAAACACCCAGGCGTGTGAATACCTACTAGATTTCAACTGTCAGGTAGCCCTCAACGAAAACCCAGGTAACGAAACATAAATGATGCATATGATATTAATTATTTCGTAGCAATAGTGAAATAGCGTTGTCATCTCAGACGAGAACATTAATATAATCTGATTGATTGTTTTGTGTATTCAACTAAGCATTGCCTAGCAACTGGTTATCATTTACAGTTCAGATTGACAATGTACTTCCGTTTTGTGAACAGAAAGAATTCTGAGACATGACTTTCTTTATTCCCCGAATGCACAAGATGCTTCACGGGACCGTGACTGTCTTTTCAAATGGCTGATTATGTGCAACGTTGGCTGGTTGAATAATCTTTTAAGTCATATAGTCTATATCAGTTATTTCAGTTACTAGTATTTATTAACTTAGTTTAACCCAGTTGCCGCTGATAACCGTTGAATGCTTGAAGATGATCAACAGCGGACACGGGGTACGTTCCCGAAGCAAGAGAGTCAACTGACTTTGAAAGTCCAATTTTCTTCTTGCCGAGCTAGGCTGGAATTATGGAGTTATATGAGTGAGTGAGTATGGTTTTACGCCGCTTTTAGCAATATCCCAGTAATATCACGGCGGGGGGCACCAGAAATAGGCTTCACACATTGTACCCATGTCGGGAATCGAACCCGGTTCTTCGGCGTGACGAGCAAACGCTTTAACCACAAGGCTACCCGACCGCCCGAGTTATATCTTGGCTGGCCAAACGAGTCTATTCACAGTCCAATCAAAATCGCGTGAGGAATTTGACATCCGGTTCGTTAACTGCCGGGCAGATTTCGGTCGATTGCAGGATTTGTAAAGCATGTGTGCCGTCAAATCGGCGTCAACAGATATTTTGCAAATCCTTTCATATTTCTAATCAAGGTGTTTATGTGATCTGATGTACTTCGCGAAGTAAGACCCATTTTTTTACAATATAGATCTTGATTATCGATCGGATTGTCTTGACTTGGCGCAGCAACTTTGTTTGAAGCAAGTGCAAGTGATATGAGAAGTGGAATCTGATTGGTCAAAAGGAGGAACGTAGAAGGGAAATAACTCATAATAGCCACTGGTGGCGCAACGATTGAGCCCAGAAATTCCAGCATAGTTCGACAAGAGTGAAAACTGGGCTTTTACAGTCAGTTGACTCTCTTGCCTCGGGAAGATGGTCACTGGTTGGCCATGAATCCGAAACCCGACCGGAAATACTGTGTCTTTTCCACGTTCCATAACAATATACTAAAGGAGGAACCCTCACTCACCCAGTAGCTCATCCACCCCTCACTCACCCTGAAGGGTAAATGTCAACATTTTATATATTATCCATCAAGAAATACCTATGGAGCATATAGAATATATTGTTAAGATGCCAGTCAAGTGGTGATGTTGACAGGATTTCCTTCAGGCGGTTTGTTACTGCGTGACTTAAGCAAAATTTCACAAATACGATATAAACTTAAGATTTTCGAATGTTATGCCTCCCGTTAAGCCTGATAACTAATGTCAGTAGCCTTTAACTTATCAATAATAATATCAAAATATGACATTTTATTATATTTTCTTTCTCTATTTACATAGACTCTTCCCCTTCCCTTCTCTCCAGTAATTCACGCTCAGCAACCATGGTGTCTAGTGCACAAGTGCAAGATGAAAATTGTAAGTAGAATGTGTGTGTGTGTGTGTGTGTGTGTGTGTGTGTGTGTGTGTGTGTGTGGACGACTGACTCAGAGCTCTGATAGAGGTTGTCATTATTGACAGTGTAGGACCCATTTCGATGTCTGTACATTTATACCGACCTGACTGTGGCGGCACCGACGTTTCAGACTCTATGTGTGTACTAGATACTATGACTGTTTCACTGTCTTTCAGACTCTATGTGTGTACTAGATAATATGACTGTTTAACTGTCTTTCAGACTCTATGTGTGTACTAGATAATATGACTGTTTCACTGTCTTTCAGGCTCTATGTGTGTACTAGATAATATAACTGTTTCACTGTCTTTCAGACTCTATGTGTGTACTAGATAATATAACTGTTTCACTGTCTTTCAGACTCTATGTGTGTACTAGATAATATGAATGTTTCACTGTCTTTCAGACTCTATGTGTGTACTAGATAATATAACTGTTTCACTGTCTTTCAGACGCGGTCCTATGTCTGAATAACTTCAACGATGAGTGGAAGTACGCGGCCCCTGGCTCGGGATGCAAGAGGTTCATCAATTGTTATGGTCAGGATTACCATGGAATGCTTCCGTGTCCCGAGACGACTCTCTTCAATGAAAACACCCAGAGGTGTGAATACCCAATATATTTCAACTGTCAGGAACCCTTCAACGAAAACCCAGGTAACGAAACATAAATGATGCATATGATATTAATTATTTCGTAGCAATAAGGAAATAGCGTTGTCATCTCAAACGAGAACATTAATATAATCTAATTGGTTGTTTTATGTATTCAACTAAGCATTGCCTAGCAACTGGTTATCATTTACAGTTCAGATTGACAATTGTTTTGTGAACAGAAAGAATTCTGAGACGCGACTTTTTTTATTCACCGAATGCACAAGATGCTTCACGGGACCGTGACTGTCTTTTTAAATGGCTGGTTATGTGCAACGTTGGCAGGTTGAATAATCTTTTAAGTCATATAGTCTATATCAGTTATTTCAGTTACTAGTATTTATCAACTTAGTTGAACCCAGTTTCCGCTAATAACCGTTGAATGCTTGAAGATGATCAACAGCGGACATGGGGTATGTTCAGCGCATTACTGTTCATCTTCCCGAGGCAAGGGAGTCAACTAACTTTGAAAGTCCAATTTCCACTCTTGCCGAACTAGGCTGGAATTATGGAGTTATATCTTGGCTGGCCAAACGAGTCTATTCACAGTCCAATCAAAATCGCGTGAGGAATTTGACATCCGGTTCGTTAACTGCCGGGCAGATTTCGGTCGATTGCAGGATTTGTAAAGCATGTGTGCCGTCAAATCGGCGTCAACAGATATTTTGCAAATCCTTCCATATTTCTAATGAAGGTGTTCATGTGATCTGATGTACTTCGCGAAGCAAGACCCGTCTTTACAATATAGATCTTGATTATCGATCGGATTGTCTTGACTTGGCGCAGCAACTTTGTTTGAAGCAAGTGCTAGTGATATGAGAAGTGGAATCTGATTGGTCAAAAGGAGGAACGTAGAAGGGAAATAACTCATAATAGCCACTGGTGGCGCAACGATTGAGCCCAGAAATTCCAGCATAGTTCGACAAGAGTGGAAACTGGGCTTTTACAGTCAGCTGACTCTTGCCTCGGGAAGATGGTCACTGGTTGGCCATGAATCCGAAACCCGACCGGAAATACTGTGGCTTCTCAACGGTCCATAACAATACACTAAATAGCTCATCCAACCCTCACTCACTCAGTAGCTCATCCACCCCTCACTCACCCTAAAGGATAAATGTCAACAGGAAGGGACGATCGTGAATCGAGAATGGAATCGATATGTTGCTATTTTCCTTTTTATATTATCCATTAAGAAATACTTATAGAGCATATAGTATATATTGTTAAGATGCCAGTTTGGTGGTGATGTTGCCAGGATTTCCTTCAGGCGGTTTGTTACTAGGTGACTTGAGCAAAATTTCACAAATACGGAATAAACTTAAGATTTTCGAATGTTATGCCTCCCGTTAAGCCTGATAACTAATGTCAGTAGCCTTTAACTTATCAATAATAATATCAAAATATGACATTTTATTATATTTTCTTTCTCTATTTAATGAAATCACATAAGGAAGATTGATATTATTTCTATTAATCTCGACCACTGTGAGAAAAAGACAAATTGATATTACTTCAGGGACATAGGCGTGTGATTCGAAGATGGTTACGGTTCTAAGGTGATTTCTGTTGAACGCTGTATTGTACGTATGTGTTTGCTTCCAGACTGTGTGACCGGCGTGGATTCCTACAATTGCTCAGCCTTCACATACTGCCATCTTAACACCCAGTACAACTTCTGCTGCAACCAAGACCTCTACTACTCTCAGAGCAAACTCACCTGTGTGTACGCCGAGGATTTGACAGAATATGACAAACTCAGATGCAACTTCCGCAACGGACAATAGGATTCAGCACAAGCAATGTATTCTCTGAACTTCAAATAAAGCCATTCAGACAATTATAACTGTGATGCATATATTTTCAAACGACGAGCGAGACAATAGTTCGTCTGCTGTCAAGTGAGTGGGGGTCAGCATGGCGTGTTAATGCTGCATCTGCCTGCTGCATCACGGCGGCCTAAATAACGACTTAAGTTCTGAGAAGGTCGTTAAGTGTGGTGGTCCCAGCCCACCTCGGAGGAATGACACACCTAATAAGTGAGACCTCTGGCGGGGAACGACTTCAAAATTCAAAAACACTTCCTTTTTATGCAAATTGTGTGAGTGCTAGCAGCTACGGGCGAGGCAGGGCAGGGCAGGGCAGGGCAGGGCAGGGCAGGGCAGGGCAGGGCAGGGCAGGGCAGGGCAGGGCAGGGCAGGGCAGGGCAGGGCAGGGCAGGGCAGGGCAGGGCAGGGCAGGCTTAACCTTTCGCGAACAACTGGTGTCATCTCTCATTTTCAGTGGTTCATTCAAATAATGTTCACCACTATTTTTCCTTTTCCTTTTAATCCAGACTGGTTATTCTCTGGCGTTGAATATTCCGTCCTCGTGCTATGCCATCTCATAGAATAGCCTTTGTCGGGCCTACGGTACCGTTACTATCTATATTCTTCCCTCCTCGTTATGGATGCTGTTGATAAGGGTCGTTGGGTACAAGACCATGTACGTTCCTCGTTTTGAATGCTGTTGATTAGGGTTGTCGGGTAAAAGACCATGTACGTTCCTCGTTGTGAATGCTGTTGATAAGGGTTGTCGGGTATAAGACCATGTACGTTCATCGTTATGAATGCTGTTGATGAAGGTTGTCGGGTATAAGACCATGTACGTTCCTCGTTATGATTGCCGTTGATAAGGGTTGTCGGGTATAAGACCATGTACGTTCCTCGTTATGATTGCTGTTGATAAGGGTTGTCGGGTATAAGTCCATGTACGTTCCTCGTTATGAATGCTTTTGATGAAGATTGTCGGCTATAGGACTATGTTCGTTGCTCGTTGTGAATGCCGTTGATAAGGGTTGTCGGGTATAAGACCATGTACGTTTCTCGTTATGAATGCTATTGATGAAGGTTGTTGGATATAAGACCAAGTACGCTCCTCGTTATGAATGCTGTTGATGAAGGTTGTCGGGTATAAGACCATGTACGTTCCTTGTTATGAATGCTACTGATGAAGGTTGTTGGGTATAACACCATGTACGTTCCTCGTTATGGATGCTGTTGATAAGGGTTGTTGGGTATAAGACCATGTACGTTCCTCGTGATGAATGCTATTGATAAGGGTTGTTGGGTATAAGACCATGTACGTTCCTCGTTTTGAATGCTATTGATGAAGGTTGTTGGGTATAACACCATGTACGTTCCTCGTGATGAATGCTATTGATGAAGGTTGTTGGGTATAAGACCATGTACGTTCCTCGTTATGAATGCTGTTGATGAAGGTTGTCGGGTATAAGACCATGTACGTTCCTCGTTATGAATGCTGTTGATGAAGGTTGTTGGGTATAAGACCATGTACGTTCCTCGTTATGAATGCTATTGATGAAGGTTGTCGGGTATAAGACCATGTACGTTCATCATTGTGAATGCTGTGATGAAGGTTGTCGGGTATAAGACCATATACGTTCCTCGTTATGGATGTTGTTGATGAAGATTGTCGGCTATAAGACCATGTTCGTTGCTCGTTGTGAATGCTGTTGATACAGATTGTCGAGCATGACACCGAGACCATGATCGTTTCTCGTTATCATTGGTGTTGACAAGGGTTAACTAATACGCCATCCTACCCCTATATAATGTGAACTTGTAATCCTATTTTATTTGTCACCCCACACCTATTTAGTGTGTCACCATACCCCTGACTAATACATCACCCTACTTCTATTTAATGCAACCCCGTAATCCATGTCATTATGTTTCTTAACAGGCGAATACGAAAACAGTTCTTCACAGCCAGTCTCTTGTTAACTCCACACGAAAGAACATCCACACATAAATACTAAGTTCCGTAGTGCAGACACCCAGATCCTCTTGCCTGTGTCATGAAGTTGCTGTAATATGTCATACTAGTGAGTCAGGTATCTATGTTCATCCATCCTGAAAAACTTCAAACAATGTTTGACACCTCGTATCTGACTAGAAATATACTAGTGTAAAGGGGCAAGTTTCACAAGGAATGGCCTTATTTGAAGCGCATTTATCAACTCCTAAATGTCGCTTAAAGTACAAAGTGAGAACTTGCTTCAGTGGATTCCTATACTTGAGTCCCCAAAGTTTCGACCTAAATAATATATTATGTGCGCTTTTACAGTCACATCGTGGCCGTAGTACATGATTTATAATTGTTCTTGAATAATTTGTAAATTGGCCAAATTGTTTTAGATGGTTGTAGAGCTAGTTATTTGCTAGCCGTAGACCACATTAATCTTGAAGAGACCCTCCTTAATACTTATAATATGTAACAACATTTAAGGTAGTATTAGTTTATGTCCATAATAATGCCCACATTCTAAATACCTCAACACTTGTGCCACCGATGGGGCAGAATATGCTCACCTTTTGGTGAAAACCTGGTATCATCGCTTAGCCTATATGATAGTGATTCATTAACACATGTTTATGATATAATCGAAATCGTACAAAGGACACTGCTTTTAGTAGAGGCCAAGCTGTACAACCACAGGTGTATTGTTAACAATAAGAGCCTTCGTCAGTTTATTGAAATATGGACCACAATATCGGGAGCAGCCTCCTACCAATTGGGATTGCAACTTTAAATTCATGATGGATGCTGTCGAAGCATAATACCCGCGAAATACAGAAGAGAAACACACTGTCTGTCTTTCGGGGTTGATTAATTTAGTGAATGATGTGAATTGGTGGAATGCACAAACTTAACAAGCCAGCTGTTATTCAAAGTATGGCTGCCCTACATTGAAACGTTGTAGTTGTTCCCACTGACAAAGCATTAAATAACATAACCATTACATGTAAGCTTCACTACATTAACTGGTTGATCAAAGAACTTGGCATAAGTGACATATCAAATTAAGTCAATTGTGAGGACAGTATGTTAACTGAGGAAGACATTTACCAAAACCTTACATCAGTACTATGAACGTTTGACTTGACCTTAAACCTGAAGACATGTCCATTCCTCATTTAAAGTGGATTCCAAAGCTTCCTAAAGGTCCGTACAAGGAGACAAAACATGGTGGGTCCAAAAAAGTATTTGAGACAAGTGGTATTAATACCATGTGGATTCTCCCAGCATTTACTTGAATCACAGAAAAAAACAAAGTTAAATTTTGTCAAAACATTTGACTTTCAACTTCATGCACCAATACCCCACGACACACGTAGGAAGGGAAAACTTCATTCCTTGACCAATGGCGCATTTGTTACCAAACGAGGTGACCAGTCCGCCCTGGTCAAGATGCCACCCTAGTTATAATGTCATGTTTTTCTCAGGTCGAAATTCTACGGTGCAAAATTCCATGGTTATAAAGCCATCATGGTTATAATGACAATGTCAATCTTTGTCAGATCAAACGTTCCAATTCACTGGTAATAATGACATTTGTTTTAATAGTGACAAAAAATGGCAATGGAGTTAATCTTGTTGAGTTAACTCCCTCTTCTAAATCATCCAACTAATTGCATTGATCATGTGTTTTCACAGCTATTCCTACAGAGTCTAATCCTTGAGCATGTTAAGATTCATTTCCCGCCACCTACAGTAGCTCTTGATGCTATTGCCCAATACCTTAAACTCCAGCTTAATCGTCCCATGGACTACGCCCAATGAAGATGATGTGATGACTCCGCCACCACCGGCAACGTCTACGTGCAAACACTACACCATGGAAATGATGGGGAGTCTTGAGGCACAAGCAAGGGCTTTGGAACAGCGCTCATACTTGACTGACACACTGACACAACTATCAGTTGATTCTAGGCAGACTCATGTCAAAGACTTACATGTTTGTGTGTGCCCACGTTTGACTCCATGGTCGGCAATGTAAAAGGTGTAGTCATGTTTGAAACAATAGCTTGGTTTGAATGGATGTGCGTTGGTTCTTACTAAATCTTCTGGTCTGGTTTTCTCCTCCCTGGTTATAATGCCATACATTCCGGTTGACGAAAGGTGGCAATATAACCAGAGATGACGGTAGTTACATGTCGATCTTCGGAGGTTCAGGACAATCTGTCAATAATGAAAGTAAATGCCATGTGAAGTATGCCTAGAAAGCAATATCTGAAAAGCTGGACTTCCTCATTGATAATATCAACGTAAAATCTGGGGGTAAGACATTCAGAGAAGAAGAAGCCATCCCCATGGTTCACCAGTTGTGTTCACCTCCTTGCTGATAGGTTTCATTATGCATATGAATCGGAATTTCTGCTCTGATTGGCGAAGTCAAAACAGGTATTTCGGCCCTCGCCCATTGTTATAAGGGTACAGGTGTAGTCAGCCGTGGTTACGTGGGTAACAATAGGGGGATTACCTATAGTCTGTTGCATGTCAATATAGAGAAAATACCTATCTGTCAGATTCATAACATTTCATATACATTTCAAAAGCACATTCACTTTACAGAAGCATATATTTAATAAAATTTCATATATTTCATATTGATAGATTACGTATTGCATAAATAGATATACATTTCAAATTCACTTTACAGCAGAAATATACAGTTCAAAATCCAACATACTCAGTCACAGCGCCAGCATATTCAATTGATGTTAGTCTGCCAGCCAACAAGTTGTCTATCACCTTCTCTATCATGATGTTGTCGTCAATTTGGAGATATTCCTTCTCTTTGGAAGATCCGGGGTAGAATAGGTCTTCAGCAACCCATGCTTGCCGTAAAAGGTGACTAACGGGATCGGGTGGTCAGGTTCGCTGACTTGGTTGATGCATGTCATGATGCTCATGATATTAATCACTGGATTGTCTGGCCCAGACTCGATTATTTACAGACCGCCGTCATATACCTGAAATACTGCTGAGTGCGGCGTA